ATCAGGAGTCACAGTGTAAGTGGCCTTGGGACCATACATACGAGCTTTGTAGTCAGCAAACCAATCAGGGTAACCATGCTCCTTAAAACACTTTTCAGAGTAATGATCCCCATTACAATGGCGGCACTTAGGTGGACCTTCAAGAGAGCTAGAGGTGGAGGCAGAAGGACGAAACCCAGCAGAAGATCCAAACTTTTTTTACGGCGGGCGACCGGTCGCGACTTGCGGGGCGACCGGTCGGTGACGTGCTGGATCCACCTTAAGAGCCAACGATCCTCCTCCAAGCATAGCGGACTGACGGGTATCTTCCTCCATGACCATGGCATAGGCTTCGAGAGGGGGTGGAACAGGACTAAGGGCAAGAATACGGCTACGAACACCATCATACGGTGGATCTAGCCCACCAAGAAAATCATAAACTCGATCGGTTTCAATTTCTTTCAGACGACGAGCCCCATCAGTAGAACAATTAAACTCATGCGGACGCAGATAATCAATCTATTGCCAGATAGCATGAAGTTTTTCATATAAGTATGGATTGCCGTTGGAGTTGAAACAAACGAGAACTATTCTGAGTCACAGTATAGGTCTTCCGAGCAGCCTCCCATATATCAAAAGCAGTATCACCATGTTCGAACAAGGCACGAACTGGTTTAGTCATGGAATTTAGAAGCCATGACTGCACCAGACAATTATCTTCTTCCCATTCGGTATAGTCAGCGGAGTCTTGAGACGGAGCAGGCTTCTTCCCATTGATCCAACTTGCCATACGACGACTAGTAATCGTAATACGCGCACCACGAGACCAAGAGGCATAATTGGAGCCATCCAATTTGTCAGATGTAATCGGGGAAGAGTATGATAGTGAGAATAGCACATGTCTGTTAGTTAAGAGTTTAGTATAGTGTGCCAAGTGTAAGATTGTTATTGGTTGTTATCCTAATCTAGTGGTTAGGCTGTTATAAAGTAAAAGCATTGTACGCTCTTTCTCATTAAGGAAAATATACACAGCTCTTTTCTATATTCTCTCTCTTTTCTCTTCTTCTTCTTCAACTGTTATCATGGTATCAGAGCCATTCATGGCTGACGCCGATTCGTATTGCTCCTGATTCTTTTTCCGCTGCACAATATTTCTCTCTCTACAGTATTTCTTTCTCTCTACAAATCGCATCATTGTTCTGCTAATTTCTTCTTTGTCATTTTCTGCAACCCTAAAATCCCAATTCCTCTCTTCTCTTCGATATTTTCACAATGGTTACAGCAGCTCAGCTTTCTCTTACACAATCGCCGATTTCTTCATTGATTCCAAGCGTAGGAAACACAGTAACTGTGAAGCTTGATGATTCTAATTTCGTCACCTAGAATTTCCAAATGGGTTTACTTCTTGAAGGCAATGGCATTATGGGGTTTCTTGATGGTTCTGCTCCATGTCCCCCTCAATTTGTTGATTCTTCTTCTGATTCTGCCACAAGAATTGTCTCTAATGCCTACAAGGTATGGAAGATTCATGATAAAGCGTTAATGGCTTTGATTACTGCTACTCTCTCTGCTTCTGCAATTTCTTGCATTATTGGGAGTCAGAGTGCTACAGATATGTGGACTAGTCTCAAAGAGCGTTTTGCTGATGTCTCTAGAGCAAGTATTTTTCAGATGAAAACTGATTTACAGAATATCAAGAAAGGGTCTGAGTCGATTGATCAGTATTTCCAGAGGATTAAAGATGCAAAAGACCAACTTTCTACAGTTGGGGTTGATATTTCTGATGAAGACATTGTAATTCTTGCCTTAAAAGGTCTTCCTTCTGAGTATAATACTGTCAAAGCTGTTATTCGAAGCAAAAAGAAGGTGGTTTCTCTGAAAGATTGTCGCTCCCAACTCAAGGCTGAGGAAGCTACCCTTGAAGAGACTGCACGTCAAGTTCCACTGTTGACTGCCATGGCTGCTACACCAATTTCAAGTTCTACCTCTAGTATGGCTTCATCTTCTATTGGATCACAAGCATCTGCCGGTGCTTACCCCCATTTGGCACCTTCTCAGTTTCAACAATCCTATCCTCCTCAAGGGTCTCAGGGATTTCATTCTTCTCAAGGCTATTCCTCTCAACAAGGGTATCGGTCTCATAATCCTAGGCCTAAGGGTAGAGGGAAGTTGTTTTATGATCAAGGTCCTCGATTTCCTCCTCGGAATTCTTTCTCAAATTCCTCTACTGGAATTCTGGGTAGACCTCCCTTTCCTTCATACAATGGTGTTCCCACTTGTCAGATTTGTAACAAGAAGGGTCATATTGCAGCCACTTGCATCCATCGATCTACTACTCCTCAGTTTCAACCTCTTGAAGTGGATCCTTGCCAAATCTGTGGGAAAACAAATCACATTGCTGCTACTTGCTTCTATAGAGATAGTCCTTCTTATCCAGGTTCTTCCTCCCAAGGCATCACTGCTATGACTGCTCAGGTTCATCCTTCTATGCCTCAGCAAGAATATTGGATTGCTGACTCCGGTGCAACCAACCATATGACAGCCGATATCTCTAATATCTCTGTGGCTGCTCCATATCCCACTAATGAGACCATTGCAACTGCAAATGGGGCAGGTATACACATCGCCCATATTGGAAAATCGTCTCTTATTACTCATACACATTCTTTTGCATTGAATTCTGTCTTACATGTTCCACAGATATCTGCTAACTTGTTATCTCTTAATCAACTCTGCAAGGAAAACAAGTGTCGATGTATTCTTGATGATTCCTCTTAGTGTATGCAGGACAAGATCACAGGCAAAACCCTATTTCGAGGACTCAGCAATAATGGACTCTATATTCTGCCTGCTCTCTCTTCTGCAAGTTCTACAACTAAAGCTGCTTTTCTTGGGAATAAAGTCACCTCTGACTTGTGGCATTGTAGATTAGGTCACCCTTCCAATTCTATCACTAGTTTAGCTTTGGCAAAATCTCACATTTCTTTTTCCAGAGATATAGACAGTCATGTATGTCAAGCCTGTCTGAAAGGCAAATTTACCAAGTTACCTTTTTCCCCTGTCCTGTCAAAATCTCATACCCCCTTTGAAGTCATACACTCTGATGTTTGGGGACCAGCTCCTACTGTTTCTCTTGAGGGCTATAGGTATTATGTAACGTTCATTGATGAATGTACTCGGTATACTTGGCTATTTCCTTTAAAATACAAATCAGAAGTTTATTCTACATTTGTTCACTTTCATGCCTTTGTGTCCACTCAGTTTGGTGTTCATATTAAGATTCTTCAAAGTGATGGTGGTGGTGAATATATTAGCTCACTTTTTCAGCAATTCTTGAGTTCTAAAGGTATGATACATCATAGATCTTGTCCGTATACACCAGAGCAGAATGGTCTGGCTGAGAGGAAGCATAGACATTTAGTTACTACTGCTGTTACTTTGTTACAGACTGCTGCTTTACCTAATCTCTATTGGTTTCATGCCTGTGCCATTGCTATCTATCTTATCAACAGAATGCCATGCTCATATCTTGCCAACTCCTCTCCTTTTGAGGCGTTGTTCAAGACACCGCCAGATCTCTCTCATCTCCGAATTTTTGGATGTGCCTGTTATCCTTCTTTGAAGTATGCTGTTACCAATAAGTTACAATCCAAGACCACTCAATGCATTTTTTTGGGATATGCTTCTAATTACAAAGGTTATATTTGTTTTGATCCTGTGGCCAAGAAATTGCTTGTTTCTAGACATGTTCTTTTTTATGAGACTATTTTTCCTGGCACTTTATTACTGGCATCCGTGTCTGTCTCTTCGTTGTCTCCACCTACCATTTCTCCTGCACCGGTTTCTGGTGGTTCCTTTTCTTTTCCACCCCATGATTTTTCACTTCATCTCATTCCTCAGTCAGGTTCCTCATCCTCTGTGGCATCCTCTTCTGTTTCTCCTCCTATTCTGAGTAGTGCAGCTGTTGTTGCTGCCTCTCCATCTATGTCTTTACCTCCATCTGTTTCCTCATCTCAATCCCTGGATTTACAGGCAGTCTTGCCTGTTGCTCCTCAGAATATTCATCCTATGCGGACTAGAAGCAAAAGTGGTATTTTCAAGCGACGAGCTTTATTGTGTGCCCCGTCTCAGCAGTCTTCTCTTTCTATGCCTGATGTTGAACCTACTACATATGCCTCTGCTGCTAAGTGTTCCCAGTGGCAAACTGCTATGCAGGAAGAAATAGATGCTCTCCACTCTCAAGGGACTTGGACTCTTGTCCCTTTACCTCCTGATAAAAATTTGGTGGACTACAAATGGGTATATCGCATTAAAAAGAATTCTGATGGTTCAGTGGCTCGTTACAAAGCACGGTTAGTTGCCAAAGGTTTCTCTCAAGAGGCTGGTATTGACTATTCCAAGACGTTTAGCCCTGTGGTTAAGCCAACAACAGTTCGGCTTGTTCTTGCTCTAGCTGCTCATTTTGGTTGGAAACTCAAGCAATTGGATGTCAAGAATGCCTTTTTACATGGCATTCTCCATGAAGAGGTATATATGACTCAACCTAAGGGGTTTATTGATTCTAAGTCTCCTACTCATGTCTGTAAATTGGTTAAATCCTTGTATGGTTTAAAGCAAGCGCCTCGTGCTTGGAATGATCGATTTACTAAATTTCTTCCGTCTCTGGATTTTAAAGTTTCTGCTGCTGATCCTTCTTTGTTTATTCGATCCATGGGTGATTCTTTGGTTCTACTTCTCTTATATGTTGATGACATTATCATTACTGGGAATTCTATGAGCTCTATTAAGGAGGTCATTTCTCAGCTTGCTCAGGAGTTTGATATGAAAGATTTGGGAGATCTTCATTATTTTCTGGGGCTGCAGATTCAGTATCAGTCATGTGCTATCTTTGTTAATCAGTCTAAGTACATTACATATATTTTGAGTAAAGCACAGATGTTGGATTGCAAGCCTTGTATCACACCCTGTTATCCAAATCATAAGCTTCTTAAGGATGGTAGCCTCCTCTTTTCTGATCCATCTCATTATCGCAGTTTGGTTGGTGCTCTGCAATACCTTACATTTACAAGACCTGACATTTCCTTTAGTGTTAATCAAGTCTGTCAATTCATGACTACTCCTTTGGAATCACATTATCTTGCTGTTAAACGCATTCTGCGATATCTTAAGGGCACTATGGACTATGGTCTCCTATTCTCTCCTGGTTCTCTCAATTTGAAGGCTTACACTGACGCTGATTGGGCTGGTGATCCCAATGATCGTCGTTCCACCTCTGGCTTTGTTGTGTTTCTAGGCTCCAATCCTATTTCTTGGGCATCTAAGAAACAGCATGCTGTATCTCGTTCCTCTATTGAGGCGAAATATAGGTCGATGGCAACAACTACAGCTGAACTCTCTTGGCTTCAACAGCTTCTTTGCGATGTGCATTTTCCTATGTCCTCTCCTCCTTTACTCTTATGTGACAATCTGTCTGCCATGGCACTTTCCATCAATCCAGTCCTTCACTCTCACGTCAAACATATAGAAGTTGACTGCCATTTTGTCCGAGAAAAGGTTACTGGTGGTCAGCTGCACTTGCAGCATGTTCCTTCTTCCCTTCAAGTTGCAGATATTCTTACCAAGGGCCTCTGCTCTCCTTCCTTTGACTTTCACTGCAGCAATCTCAAGCTTAGGCCACCCTAACTTGATCTTGAGGGGGGATGATAGTGAGAATAGCACATGCCTGTTAGTTAAGAGTTTAGTATAGTGTGCCAAGTGTAAGATTGTTATTGGTTGTTATCCTAATCTAGTGGTTAGGCTGTTATAAAGTAAAGCACTGTACGCTCATTCTCATTAAGGAAAACATACACAGCTCTTTTCTATATTCTCTCTCTTTTCTCTTCTTCTTCTTCAACTGTTATCAGATACAAATTAGACATTGAGGATTCAAAAGGATAGAAAAGATCTGCAAAAACAAAATTGAACCGGTTCAGCTAATACAAGGCACAAGAACCCTAAAAAGAAATTAGGGCACAGAGTATAACACGGCACAAGAACCCTAAAAAAGAAATTATGGCACAGAGTAGAACACAGGTGGGCACAACACACACAGGTCACCAGAAAGTCGGCTCTGATACCAAGTCAAACAATATGGTAGAATATTTTCAGATATATTTCTTTCTCCGAAAGGAGGGATTTATAATACAGGTTACAAACCCTAGCAGGGTTTAATTAGGAAATAAGTGGAATCCTAATTACATAATATCTACACAAAAGGAAAAATAAATAAAACCTAAATAGAATAGGACTCGCCAACAAATAATTCAGCCTTAATCCCCCGGAAAAGGAAAATACAAAGAGGCATCCCTCATTCTTACCTCTGGACTCTTAAGTACATAAAAACTGCCCAAGTGAATTCCGGTCAACCAAGACCGAGCCAACTATGGCTTCTTTGAAAAGCTGAATTACTGGGCCAACTACAAGGAGAGAGTTGTGTTAAGCAACAAATGAAGATGACTACAGAACAAATAATATCGTTGTAAGTTGTAACATCAAACTCTAATAGTATCTGTACGGACTCACCTGATAAAGGCAATAACAACAGAAGTGCGCCAATGATTCCATTCAAGCTTGACTGTTTTAGTAAACTTTCCCAGAAACTCGATGATGATAACCTAAAGAAAAGCAAGCGAATGTCAAAAAATTTAAACATTCATCAAAGACCCATGGGAAAAAAATGAAAATATTAAAGTCTCACCTGAAGTACAAGTGTTATTGCCACTATTCCCATAAAGAAATGGTTCTTAGTAATTCCTTCGAATATATTAAACTCATCAGGCTTTCGAGCATTGAATTCATTGAAAATCTGCGAGTTAAAGATTGTCACTTATTAAAGTCATAATGTAGCATATCTCATCCAATCTGGAAGAGAACACATGAAGTGTTATGTCTACAAGTACAGACGAACAAACCCTAGTCGGACTCAATCAACGAGTAAAAAACATAAACAAATCCACACAAAGTTCCTTATAACAGAACTAACAAATTACAGAACATTTTTTACAGATCAACAATTTCACTTCACTTTGGTAGAAATTTAGTGCAGAACTTCACATGGGAAACAGGTTATTTCAGCAGATTATTGCTCATGTCATAGTCAAGGATCTTTTAGAAAATTTTACAAGAAAAATAAAAACCTTAAATATATGTGCAGATATCGGATACCAAAAACAAGTGTTACTGTTCTATTAACCAGTCATGACTTACTTGACAAAGGACAAAGGTATTGAATATCACTGTATTCTTCAGCTTGTTAGCATGGTCTCTGTTGGGATAATTTGTCAAATGCAGTATATGCATCCCACGAAAGTTGAGGATAAGCAGGACGATGACTTGGTAGAAAGCCTGAGTTCAATGAAAACTTATCAAAAATACAAACAAGAAGGCATATTCTCTAGCGCGACAATACACGGTAAAGAACAATAATACGTTAGTTTACATAAACGCCAGAAAAAGCATGTACCTGAACCAATATGTTCCCCCACATTTTTTTTGTTATAAGACGCTCTCTGCAAAACAATGTAACCATAACTGCATTACTATTACCATCAGACAAACAAATAGGGCATCTAAATTTGGTCAGTCTGCTTAATGACATCAAAATTTAATAGATACGGGCCAATTAGAGGTCGCCATATTCAAAACGAATATACCCAGTCACTAGAGAAAAGAAAGTAAAACTATATCTTGACTGAAATTAAAACACATTTTGGCACAAACTTTGCTAACCAAGTTTTGGTAGTCATAAACAAGGTTAAGTTTTCTTCTCATATATTTTCTACCTTCCAGGGTAGAGAGGTACTGTACCCTATGGAACTTTTAAAAAAGCTAGATTTAATCGAAAAATAAATGAATAAAAACTCTTTTTTTCAACTAAAGTGAAAAATATTCAGACATTTTTGGCGATTAACATAAAATAACAGTGTTTCTGTGATATGATACGTTTTTTTGTTGATTTTTAGAAGGCAGCCACCAGTACAGAAACTTACTTTCGACCAACAGGTTTTCTGTCCATCAAGTGATCTGTAGGAGGCTCAGTAGCCAACGCTAGTGCTCCAAGAGTATCCATGATAAGATTCACCCACAGAAGCTGCATCAAGCACAAGAAAAAGAGTCCACAGGTGTACACACAGAGAGAGAGAGAGAGAGAGTGATAATACCTGAACAGCATTTAGTGGAACATCACCAGAGGAAATCGCTGCCACGACATTTATAATTAGTGCTGCAACATTGACTGTAAGGTGGAATTGGATGAATTTCTGAATATTTGCATATACAGATCGACCCCATATAACAACCTACAAGCATTGAGAAAGAACCAATAAGTCATGTGTGACTTTAACATTAAAACGGTGAGAGGGACGTGCTAGAAAAATTAACACAGTGCCAGGTGAGAGAGTAGAAGTAATACAGAAGGAAATAGTAATAAACAGAAGAAGAAAAAAAAAACCCAAAAAACCAAAAATTAGTATATGTCATTGGTTGCATAGTATTCCTAACCTTCACAACTGAAGCAAAATTATCATCCAATATGATGATATCTGAACTCTCTTTGGCAACTTCAGTCCCTTGAATACCCATAGCAAGACCAATGTCGGCCTGAACTCAAATGTGGAAGATTCCAAACAAAAACATTAAGACATAACATCAAACATTAACAATGAATTAAGAAAGGAAAAAAAAGAAAGAATAAACTACAAAGTACTACGGTGATCGTAACCGTAATAACTGCTTCGATAAATAAAATAAAAAGAAAGAAAAAGCAAGTAAAAACATCTGAGAGACCTCACGCAGTGCAGGAGCATCATTCGTGCCATCTCCAGTAACAGCAACAACTTCTCCCTTTCTCCTCAATGCTTGCACAAGCAGAAGCTTGTCATTCGGGGAAGACCCCCCCATCACCTGCACGTTAAAAAAAAAAAAGATTCACTAGTATTCATACCAAAATCTTAAGCGTGCACGCCAGGAACTATGAACGATACACAAGTATTCATACCAAAATCTCCTTAGCACACTCTTCCCTCTCCCTATCAGAAAGGCCACGAAAGACTTTTCCCTCGATGAGAGTTGGCCCAGTAGCATCTGAAGAAGTAAGTATGCCACATTCCAAAGCAATTGCTTTTGCAGTTTGAACATTGTCGCCCGTAACCATGCGTACCTACATGTTTATCAAGTTGGAAGGAAAACTTCAAAAATACAACACCCAATTGTTCACTTTCTAACAAGAATATTTAAAAGCATACCCAGAAAATAATTATGAAAATCCTACCACAAACAATATTTGAACAGTACAATAGTAAATTTCTTAATAAAACAAAAAACGAAAGAAACATGGCGGGATATACATCGACACAAACACCCACCTCAAAAAGCACTTGCATAGATAAAACCAAAAAATAAAGCACATCAAGAAACCATTCACTTAATGATCTTACAGTTAGTGGAAAACGACTTCCTTTTGCCCGAGTGTAATAATCAAACTAATGACAGTTTTTAGGAGTAAGGGAACAAGCGGGAGGCTAAACAAATTATTCCACATAAAATAGTATAATAAATGAAGATGCATCAGACAACCCTATGACAGGAAAGTAGCCCTTCCATTGTTGCACAATCACAGTTGAACTTAGTTGTAAAAAGCTGAACCCTATTGGTCTCCAACCTTCCAAACACTCTTCATCCAATTATATAAACACCCCTCCATATGAAGAACAAAAATTCACATGATAATTTCAAATATGGAATTGATATGTCACTAAATAATACCTTAACACCAGCTTTTTGGCATAGTCGCACTGCATCTCTAACCCCTGGCCGACAAGGATCCTGCATTTCATTATTGTGTACATAAGCTAAACAAACTAAATGTGAACGCAAATTTAAAAAGCAAATAAAACTTATAGATGCACTACCTTAATACCAACAATAGCAAGCAGAACAAGGTCGTCATCAGGCAATGCCCACAGAGCTAATTGTTGTTCATCAGTTGGAACGCTTTCTAATTCATATGTTCTATATGCAATAGCAACACAACGCAAACTGCGAGCAGCCATATCCTCAGTGGACTCCCTGAACATCATTGACTGCAGACAAAGAACTTCATTAAAATGAACCATTTGATAAAATCTTCCGAAGTCCAAGGTCAACATAAAAAATACCAACTAGTGAGAACATAAGCCTAAGAACAAACTTGTACAACTTAAATTAGGCTCTTATGCATAAAGAGATGTTAAACTGTCTTGCCAGAATAGAAAAATTGTAATGCATGTGGAAATCATCGCAAGCAGTAAAGGAATGACTAAAATATAATGACAAAAAAACAGAGAATGTATTATGCATGTCCCATTCACTGAAAAACCACAGAAATGAACAACTATCATGTAACTGTTCTGTAAATGTCACTATAAATTTCTCCTACCTTGTCATTATCCATTGCTGCCAACTGATCATTTGCATCAAGGTACTTTGTGCACGAGGCCAATACTAATTCAGCAGCCCCTTTCCAGTGTATATGAACTTCAGAATTGGGCTGTAAATATTGAAAGGCATTCAAACATTATTTAGACTTGAGCATGGATGAAAAAGAAGTTATCCAAAAATCATAATTGTAGGGTCCAGCTTCAGTCCACATGAGAACATCAACCCTATATGCCATATCATGTTAAGAAGAGATCTACCAGAACTAAAACTTCGCTCACAGAAGCCAAGTTTTCCGGGAAGATATTTACTAGTAAAAGCTCAATCAGGAACTAACCATACAGACAGATATAACAAGAATAACGAGAATGTGGACAACAATAATAATCTATCACCAAAGGCAATTGGCAAAGTATACCTACGTTGCCTCCCCCACCCACCAATAAATTTATTTATTTGTTTATTTTAAATGTCTCTTCAAAGCATTTTCACTACTGTGAAGATTGCAGCATAAATGACTGGTCACAAAAAAGAACAATTAATCCACTTTACCAATTTAACAGCAGCGCCACCTCGCTTTTTCTCAGAGTTGAATGGGAACACATGAAGAACCAAAGATTCAGACTTGATGGCTTCAAAATTCATTCCAAGCTGCAAACAAAGTAATAGTAACCAATGGATCACTTAAAAATAAAGTCACATTAGAAGTGGCAAAATAGATGACATTGGAAAACCAAAAGAAAGAACCTTGATTCCCCATTGCAGAATTGCCTTTTCAGTTGGTGAACCAGAAACTTCTATATCACCACCAGTCTACAAAAAAGAAGCAATGGCAAATTGTTACAGAGTGTAAGCCTTTTTCACTCATATTCTGCTAGACAAATCTTACTAAGGAAAGAAACACAAACACTTTAAGCATACCTCAGGCACATAAACACTGCCAGTTGTATTCAGTGCGATGCCTTCAATAAGCAAAGCTGATAGCATTGGAGACAAGTCTGACTTATTGTCAGAGATATCAATTTTCTTCCCACCAGTAAAAGCCTCAACCACAGCCATCTATACTTGAAAAAAAATATCAAAAAAGATTATCAGTCATTAGCAGTCCTTGCCTAGACCACCAGCGTTTTCCCCCAATCTCTGCACAATAAAAATAAATTTTCCAGAAGTCCCAGAACACTTGTGCTCACATCCACCAGAGTTTTTCTTACAACAACCAAACAAACTTACTAATCTCAATTTGGCTTTTTTTAACTAGGGCATCACTTTGGCTGGGTTGAAACCTCAAACTAGCTTTCATCCAAACTTATCTAATTGGTAACAACTCCCCAGCTTCATCGTCATAAATCAACAAGGAAATAGACACTCTTTCTTCCATCACATTATAACCTAGCTTCCTCCTCCCAAAATGAATGAAGAACAAAAGGGGAAAAATAAAGCCCATTGTAAGTTATAACCCACCTGGTTCAAAGTTAAGGTTCCAGTCTTGTCACTGCATATAGTTGTGGCAGAGCCCATGGTTTCACATGCAGAAAGCCTTCGTACCTACATTTAGAATTCCATTGTATTCATTTAATTATATGCTTAACCACAAAGTACATCACCTACAAAATCTATGTAGAAATAAAAATGAACAAAATTACACATACCAAGGCCTTATCTGCCATCATTTTTCTCATTGAGTAGGCAAGCCTGTGACATAGCCAAAGGATAAACGGGAAAAGAAATGAGGAATGTAGAGAGATGAAAGCATACAATCATTTATGCTTTACAACAAGGAAAAATCAAGTTCGAATCAGCGAGAAGACAGAAGCAGATATTATTCTTTCTTGCACTGAGATCAGGTTACTCAGTATAAAGCACATGGTAGAAGTGAAAAATAAAAAATAACAAATAGTTCTGGCACAAAAGAACGAGCACACTTACGTCAAGGTAACAGTTAAGGGAAGCCCTTCAGGAACGGCAACCACTACAATGGTGACCTAAAATATTTTCATAGTAGTCAAAATCACACTTTACTATTTCCAGTAAATAACCAGGTAGACAACGACACACACACGTATTGACTGCAAATAACCAAGTAGTTATTGACATACTGCTATAGTAACAATCTTAATGGCTCCATCTATGGCATCTCCAAATTTAGCCTTTCCGGGGGTAAACTGAGCAGTTCCATTTGCATTTTTTGTATGGCCAGTAAAGTATCTGCACAAATTATATTGTGCAATCTTAAGTCAATTGTCATGTCATGGAGAAGGGGTTGCTAGCAACGATCGGAATATACCTGACCAATAGGACAACCAAGACAGCAAAAGCTACTGTGAGTCCGACAATTCCAATGTGAGTAGCCACCTTGTTTAAGCGCACCTATTCATAGTCATCCATGGTTCAGTACAACATGTCATGCATGAAAAGAGAATTATTTCAATATAACAGTTCATTAAAGCTGACCTGCAAAGGGGTTTCTTCACCAGTATCTTCTGAAATATTAGCCATGAGCAATCCCCATTCGGTACTAACCCCAACACTGGTTACCTGAAGAAACAATAATAATAAAACATTGACTGTTCTATTTCAACATTACATGTTCAACAAATAAAAGCAAGCCTTTCAAAAACAAAGAATCGGCAAGCAAACAAGGAATTTCAGATATGCTCTTGACTGACTCAAGAAAAACGAAGAACCATACACTGAAAATCCACACTTTTTGACACACTTTTCCCCCCTAAGATAATGAGCCATCCAAGGGCTAGAAATCCACCAAACTTAATTCTTAAAAAAATATAATATTCCTTTATAACTTTTGAAAATATTAATGCACACAGTATACGAGGTCATCTCTCTTCTCTACACCACCTGCTTTTCTCTCTCCATTTTTCCCTCTCAGTTTCTCTATTCCTGATCGTAGAATTAACCGGAAATTCCAGATCTTGGGAATAAAAAGAATTGGCTTATTATCACAAAAGGTCCCTAAGGTTTACGAAACTATCAGATTGCATCCTTAATGTTTTTTTGTGTCACTCGTGGTCCTCAAGGTTAGTATGTATAATCACAAATGGTCCTTGCCGTTAGGTTCCGTCAAAAACTCCATTAGTTTGCTGACGTGGCATATATACATATCACAAAACATCCCTAAGGTTTACACATCTATCACAAATGGTCCTTGCGAAATTTTTTAATTTTTTAATTTAAAATTCATAAAATTTTGGTTTTCTTTTTTAAATCTTATGAATTTTAAATTATTTTAAAATATATATTGTATTTTAAATACACATGACACTATATTATTTTAGATGTGGGCTCCACATAGATGCCACATCAACAAACTAATGGAGTTTTTAAAAAATAATTTAAAATTCATAAAATTTAAAAATGAAAAAATCATTTATATAAGGATTTTAACCTTAAGGACCATTTATAATCCCTAAACCCTTGGTTTTTTTATGAATTTTAAATTTAAAAAATTTAAAAAATTTGCAGGGACCATTTGTGATAGGTGTGTAAACCTCAGGGATGTTTTGTGATATATATATATGACACATCAGCAAACTAACGGAGTTTTTGACGGAATCTAACGGCATGGACCATTTGTGATCATACATACTAACCTTGAGGACCACTAATGACACAAAAAAACATTAAGGATGAAATCTGATAGTTTCGTAAACCTTAGGGACCTTTTGTGATAATAAGCCAAAAGAATTATCTCGAATGCTTTGTTCTCTTCTTACATCTGTTGTTTATGTTTTTATCTTATTTGATTATGATCTCAACAAGTACAGCCAGTCATTTAAAAATAAAATTGTGAAGAGGAATTATTAAAAAAGACAGTAGGAAAACATACGTCGTGGGTAAACTTTGGTTTCTTTTGAATTCATGGGTTTCTCAAAACAAAACAAAAGAAAGAAGAAAAAGTCTTCGTTGTAAATGAAATTCAAGAGTCAAGAAAGATCCATATTCAAAATATGGTTAAAAGGTGGGTGCTCTATAATCCGGTAATAGGAAAGTTGATTATATGCCAAATCCAAAAACAGAGGTTTTTATGGGTGGGTGCTCTATAATCTGGTAATAGGAAAGTTGATTATATGCCAAATCCAAAAACAGAGGTTTTTATGTAGTTGCTGGTTGTTTTCTGGGGTTTTCCCTTCTTGTTCATGTAGCACCAGGAGCATCCTTTTGAGCATCTTTTTAAGAGTCCAGCCATTGAATATAGGCCAACGAAAATTCAATGTGAACTACTGGATTGAAGATTAGGGGAGCTTATAGTTTTCCTAATGGAGTTTGAATGAGCAGAAGAGAGAAACCAAGTTAGAGAGAGCTTGACCAAAACAACAAAAGTTAGAAGGAGAAAAACCGAAGTGCCAGAAGATAGAGAAAGGAAGTTAGAAGGAGAATTTAAGAAGGATAGAGGAGAGATAATGTAAAAGCATTAAATGTCAAATTTGTTATGGTAATCACAAGAAATTATTATAATGGATGCAATCTGAACCATTGAATGTGATTAAATCTAACGGTTTAAAATGCATGTACTAATTTGTGTCAAAAATGTGTCCTCCATCCTGACCCTATGTATATGCATATATCATGTATAACCCACACATCATGCGAAGATCAAACGACGATTGACCAGCAATACCTGTGCTACAGCTATGGTGTTTTTTATAAAACATAACTAGGGTGGTACTCGGAAAAATATGATATCCTAAGCAGCCTTTAATAACCTGGATATGACTCCATAGCTTTCAAGATAGTGCACTACAGGAAAGAAGGGAAAATAGTTGCAGGCATGGAAAAAGGAGAAGAGAGATATTAGAATCTTTACCAGCATAGTACCACTGCCATCTGCTACTTTGCAGCCAGACATTAGAAATGGTTTCTTGGAGTCCTTACGAACCTGCAACAAAAATATAATTTACAGAAAATAAAAAAGGCAATGTTCAAACAAGGTTACAGAACAGGCATAAAGACTCACAATCGTGCTCTCTCCTGTCATGCTTGACTCGTCTATCGCAAGTGAGTAACCGCTTATTAAAATGCCATCAGCAGGGACCTAAAGATAGAATCAAAATATTAATAAGTTTTGCATTTGAAATGCAATTGTAAAATATACAACAAAAGTTTACTGACAAACACCCATACCTGATCGCCAATGTTAAGGGGTACAACATCACCAACAACAAGATCATAAATTGAGACCTCAACTCGTCTGCCACCTCTAATGACCTGAACATTAACTCCAAAGATGAATCCCAGCAAAAGAAAAGACATAAAACCCCAACAAATAGGAATTGTAATGCAACCAGAGAAGCACACCTCCAAATGTATATTTCTCTTTTCCTCATTTAAATTCTGGAACTTTAGAGATTGTCTGTAATCACTTATAGCTGCACGTAAAAAGTGCACGAAAAACTGATGAGAGTGTGTACCACTTATGATCAATACATGCTCCCATATAATATATTAGAAGTCAAGTAATAATACACCCATATATGCTCATTGATGACAGATGCTTAAACACCCCCACAAAAAGAGAATACAAACGAAAATAGATGATTAAACACAATCCAATGTAAGAATCCCATTATTGCCCTTCAGTGACATGCATAGCAGACCCACCCCATCCAGTGAAGACAGATGGATACATATAAACAAACACAGTCCCCTTCTATTGAGGGATCCCTCAAATAAACACTCCGAACCGTCCATGTTTTAAGTCTTCATTCAAAGATCATCCTTGCAAAAAATTACCAAAATCGGAAACCATTAAGACATCTAGTTGTGATCAACAAAATCGATGATCCCAGTAGTTCAAGAAAACACTAAAACTACAACCATAAATTGAGTGGTCAAATTATTTCAAATTCAAATGATTTTTTGCAGGAATGTTCTTTGAAGGAACACCTAAAAAATAGATGGTTCAGATTATGAAAATAAAATGTGTATGGCCCCACAAGCGTGTACCTATTATATATATATATATATATGAGAGAGAGAGAGAGAGAGAGAGAGAGAGAGAGAAAGAGAGAGAGAAAGAAGGTAACATTCAACCACGTTTTTAGGAACACTCACAAAACCTACCAGGGACATGCATACCTATACATACATATTCAATAAACATGTTCATTCAAATACCTGTGACAACAATAACAAGGATAACTGCAAAAGCAATGCTGCCCCCATCATACCAACCATCATCTATACCCTGTAAGCAACAAAGAAAATAGAAGGCAAACACCATAAACAAATTATTCATCTTTAAATCAAATAACTACTGGGATTCACAAAGAATTATGATATCACTTTTTCCGAATATATGCCACTATGAAATTGTAATATCATGGCCTTAACAGCATATGCAATCATCTATCCTATTTACGAAAGACAAATCATGGGATAACAAAAAATCAGACTTCAAAACAAACAAAAGCAGAAGGGCTTTGCAAGTGGCAGATATTCATAAGACTAGTTTCATATCCTAAACTGATAACGAGTGAAGCTATTAAAAAGGTAATGTTATCCTCACCTCTGTCTTTATACCCAGCACTAAAGAAGCCACTGCAGCTACCATCAAAATTATCAGAGTAAGATCTTGCCAAGCTTCCCAGAGAAACGTCTATCATATAGCATAAGGAAATAAAATAATATTACAACATCACAAATCTATTCTTTCTTTTTTTCTAATTATTTCTAATACATAAAACTTAGAAGTTCATAATTGTAACAAAAACTTACCCAGAAACTCCTCTTTTTTTTTTTAGGATATGTGTTTGTTCCAAATGCATTTTTACGTTTCAGTAAATCAGCATCATCTCCATGAATTCCCTTGTCTAAATTTGTTTTTAATAAATCTCCCAGCCCTTTGACCTGATGTAAGAGAACAGCCAAGAAAAAATATAAGCAACATTGTTTATGTACCAAGTCAGATCACTAAAGAAATGTTTTAGTAGACTTGCCCCCCCATATTGTTGCAGAGCAGGAAAATTATGATACTTCGTCACTGAAACTAGTTGCTCCTGTCCAATTGGAAAATCGCCAGCAGAACTTGGTTTCGGCAGTTCAATTTCTAAAAATAAGAAACAGAAAGTTAACTATAGAACTAACCGAAAGTACTATGTTACTAAACAAGGATTCATATATGTCATAAATCTATAAAGGTCCAAAACACAATCCTAAAACAAATGAACAAGAATGTAGCTCTAGACATTCTATAACAATTGATATTTCTTCAAATATAAAACTGTGAACAAGAAATGAAGAGAGGATCACGAGATCAATTCCCATAGCACCTATTCCAGACCGACAAACAAGGTATTAACTAAAATGAACAAAATTAAAATTCACTTTTGGAACATATTCAACGGGATGGTAAACATCAGTTTGTCATCATATAAGAGCTACAGAGTGTGTTATTGAAAATAAAAAACAGAAACCACTGTACCAGATACACATGGCTAGAAAGGATGGAAAAGGTGCAGATAATAAAAGAAAGGAACGAAGAGTGAAGCAAGAATACCCCCCTGGCCAGAACTGAACAATGGCATTATGGCATTAGGGAACCAATTGTCGTAAATGAAAGCAGTTTATTGAGTGAAACAAGGAAGAAATTACTCCAACTAGGTACAATGCTACTATTAGATTCAAATAATTGAAGCATGGAACAATTTCCAAAAATAACTCGTGCCAAAGGAAACCAAAGGATAAAAGAAGATGCAATTCAAACAACATATCATGATGTCCTCACATTTTACTGCATATGATACTTACAAAAATTTAATGGTAAAAGAAAATACAGGAAAGAAGTACCATTCACTTGTTGGTTTCCAGCCTCTTTGAAAAGATATGCAGCCTGATAATTAAAAAATCATAAATTAGAAGAACAATAGAACATGAGTCATGCAATACACATGTACACATTTGTTTTCAAATTAATTACTTGTATGGCTTGTGCATGTACTCTAATCTTCCTTAGTGTCTGCTGCTTTTCTCTTTCTAGTGTCTGCTGCTTTTCTTCTTCCTTTTTCAAGTCTAAGATGTATCGGAATCGACGAGAAATATTCAACACTAGTGCCGCTTGCTACAAAGAAACATAACATGGTTTAGCCAAAGCCTTGATTGAAATATAAATTAAAATAAATCCTTCCACTAACCACTATAACTAAGCAACCAATAGAGAATTTCAATTATCAGTCAAAAAATAAAGAAAATACAGGTAGTACAATTTGACTTATCCGGCATCTAGGGTAGTAAAGCCCTTAACAGAGTGGCATCGCAATGAACCAATTGTCACATATTGAAAACCAGAAAACCCCAAACTTAGCTGAAAATTTAGTTCACTTTTGGTAACAATTTTGTAAAACAAAACTCACCCATCAACAGATTTTCTTGTTGATGATCTCATTCGACTTTTACTTTTACCAAAAACATGAATCTTGATGTATTACACACACACACACACATATATATATATATATAAAATGATACATATAAAATTAAAAAAACTCTCTTGTGAGACGATCTATAGTATTATGTAATCATGTGGGACATTTTATAGACTAATGCGGCATAGCTGAAACATGAAGCAGTACGTATTATTCCTATCCACCATACGTAGAGAAGCTAATAGTCATTCATCACAACTTCTCATGGTTAAAATAAATAAAAGAATTATGTTGCTAATAGCACCTTAAAATCATAAGAATACCAAAATTTTCATCCAAATTCTTTATCATTTCACGTTATATTGACTTTGTTAGTGAAAAAAGAGAGTTAATATCACTCCTTCTACATCAAAAATACTCTCTCAGCCAACATTTTTCCACATCTTCTTTCAACTGTACATGCACTACCAATTTTGGACCTACTGAACCTAAATCAGTTTTAAACAGACCCAAAGCCCATTTACTACAAATTTGAAACTACACAAGTCCAGATCCAGGGGACAATTACTATATATAGAAACTTACCATACAATACCACAAACACACACAAAAAAAATATTGGAAAACTAAACATCAAACGCTTTAATCTCCCAACTCCAGATGAGAGTAAAGGTGTAATTTGACAAAAATAGAAACCACCACCCAAAAATCTACAACAGCAAAATGTGAAGGATAATCAACAAAAAAGAAATATCAAATTCAAAGGTAAACATACACTCCAACGCTTGAGGCAGCCGCAAGACTCTTCATCGTCCAAGTCACCAGCCTCCACATCTCTACGTTGTCTATACTGCGAGACTCCTGATTGACTCATGTTTCACAAAACCTGTCGCAGAAGAGAGTACACCGTTAGCTTCTTCAACCTCTAAGCCCAAACCGCACTCAAAAATTCTCTCTCTCTCTCTCTTTGATTTCCACTATCTGAACCAAACAGAAGCTTCCAAATCTGATTCTACTTCAAAATTTCTCAAATATTCAAAATACTTCACAACTCTCTAAACTATCTAACCCATTTCACGTCTGAAATTCACACAGAAAACAAATTGATGCAACTATAGCTCAAGTGATTTCTCGAAACTTTGCTCTCTTTCTCACACTTTGTCACTCTAGAAAACGCCTCAACTCTCCATTTTCTCTCTCTTTCTCACAATTGCATAGAGAAATACATTTGGATATATTCTCAATGAGCAGATTGTGGAAGACAATGCCTATAAAACAGTATATAAACGACGAACACCATCATCGAAGCCTCGAAACCAGACAAGAAAATGGCCTTTTATTCGAAACGAAATGAAGAGGAAAAAAAAAAACATGGAAGATCACTAGAGAGACAATATGGGTTAATGCATGCTTCAACTTTTGCTTTATATATGTATGTTGCTTTCTTTCTTCATGGCTTCAAGTCGTTTTGTTGGTGAGAAGGCAAGACTGCCGGTGAGTTCATGTTCTTCTCGATCTTTATCTAATCTGTCATAAAGAGAAATGAATATAGCAGTTGTACTTGCACTCACCCAGTAGAACTGTAATGTTTCGTTGATTTCTTCAAGTTTCAGCGTAGCTTTGGATTTGAGAGAAATGCTCAAGGATATGAAGTTGCAATGGGTTTTGTGTTATTTATAGCTTCAGCATGATGGCGTTGGTTGGACGCGACGCGCAAAACCGCCTCGCAGAAAATTGAAGTCTTTTTAGCTCTTTGCAACAGATTTGGGGGGTGACATTTGCTGGGGCTTTTAGTCACACCTAACAAATATGTGACTAAACACGCGTACGAGATGTATATTACCGTAATATTCTATATTCTCTCCACATGTGGAATAAAAAATTTAAAAATATGAAAACCCAACCCCCCTCTCTTCGTACCCATTTGTGGCGGGAAAATTTTGCTATTTTCTGGGCTCTTTCTGCTCAGCATTCTCTTCAATGAACAACCCACCATTTATAGCGACGAAGACGAAGAAGATGCCGGTTCAGAATCAGTTCTCATCACCCCAACATGAACAGGATCATCATTTTCAACCTACCCAGAATCCAAAACATAAATTACAACTGATTCTTCTTCACCCACCACCCGATCCGACGTCGTTTTCATCCCCATCCCAATCCCATCAGCACTGGTCACAATCGGAGCGCTGCAAATTGCGAAGTTCATGTGTGAACCCAGCCATGCACAGTGCACTCCACATGAAAACAGTCACCACATGCATTTGGGCAAATTCCTACCCATGATGTAGTCCTCAAATGGGCTCAAACAACTCTCATACACTCCATCTCCAATAACCCATTATCGTAACTTCCCTCCTCCTCTGTTTTGTACACGAACAGAGGAATTGCAGAGATGGTTTTCAAGTCGAGGCCTTTCTTTCGACGACGACGCAGAGCCCGAAAGGCTATTAATGTTTGCTGATGTTCCAAGTTCGGGCTAAGAACCCGAGAGACGGTCATGGAGCTGCGACCGCGCCGGTTGTGAGTTTAGGTCGGCGAGAGAGGAGACGGGCGGGCGGGGGTCGCTGTGGTGACGTCGACTGGGAAATGGTTTTTCTTTTCTTTTCTTTTTTTTTCTTTTTTTTTTTTCTGGGTTAGCTAGGTACGAAGAGAGGGGTTTGGTTTTTCATATTTTTTATTTTTTAATTCCAGATGTGCGCTATCCACAATTCCACATCCCAAACCAGATTAAAGATGAATCAATAATTACTTCTACGGAAAATCACAATTAAAGAAAAAACATTTTTATTTACCACAAAAAAAAAAAAAACATTCTCACTACATTATTAGAGAAAAAAAAAATAGATACATTATTCAAAGGAAAAAAATAAGTTCATTATACTAGGTAAATTGTTTTAGGGAGATTAACTATTATACCCAATATAGAAGTCTAAATTATAAATTAAAAAAACTACATGAAATGGACTTTAGAAACACACCCAAAGCTCATTTACAACATAAAAAAAATGCTTTTAATTTCTTTTAAATTACAAAACTGCCATTGATTTCTTAAAACAAACCCAACCCCAAAACCTCATAAAAAAAACCTCAAAACACTCAATAGGGCATCAAAGTAATTTAATAATCAAAATTAAATTCAATAGGACCAGCTATCATTTTTTGGTTTTTTTTTTGGGTTTGTGTATAGAAATTAAATGGTATAGGGTTTATGTATAATTTTGGTGCTAAGAATGAGTATATGACTAAATATCTCGTTGTGGTACTAGGTATACATTATTAGAGAAAAAAAATAGGTACATTATTTAGAGAAAAAAATTGGTATATTTAAAAAAAAATTCATAAAACAAAAAATAAATAGATTATCAAATTAATTTTTTTATAAAACAAGTAATAGGTACATTATTTAGAGAAAAAAAAAAGACACAAAATTTAGCGAAAAATAGGTTCATTATACTAGGTACATTAGTAGAGAAAAACATAAGTACATTATTTGGAGAGAAAAAATAGGTTCATTTTATAAAAAAATTGTTTTTGAAATAGAAAAATAAAGGAAAGGATTGTAGGTGATTTAAAATGAATTTTATGGGTCTACACTCAATTTAATTTTTTTTTTCTTCATAAAAGTGCGATGATTAACTTGATTTTGTTGAGTTGAATGGTGCGGATTTTTCATAACAAACTTTATCATAATAATAAAAAAATATATATATAATAAGTTTATGATGTCAACGTTGCCACTTGCCAGATGGCTTTAATCTACAAGGAATCAATCCACTTATACGACAAGAGCGAGAAAAATAAAGTTCCCGATATCAAGATGGATTATGCCTACTTTGAGGAAGAAAAATAAAGGTCCTGATGAAGACGAATTATTTATGCATGCTTCAAGATTGTGATGAGTTTTTCAGGCCAAACAAAAAAATGAATTATTTATAAATCAATAATGCTATACGGTGGTACCATTGAAACATGCATACCTTCAAATACATATTCCTCCCTTCCTCCTTTACATTGTGGATCTGAGATTGGCTGCATTTGCAAATTGCTGCAGAAAAGAAATTCAACATTTGACCCCAAAACAAAAAAAACAAAACAAAAAAGAGAGAGATAGAGAAATGCAAACAACAAAAATCCATAAATAATTAGACTTTAGCTATTTCAACTATCTTAATTGACCACTCTCCTTAGCAATTAGCTTACCGAGTACTGCTATTTAGACACACACCATTGACCATTTTAGTTGACCACCTTATGTGGCAATTGATGTGTCATGCCAACTCAATTAATGAATGTCGCCATGTCAATTTAAAAAAAAATTTAAAAACCCTAAAGTTCCTAGTAAATAGACTCATGGCAACATTCATTAATTGACATGACATGACACATCAGTTGCCACATAAGGTGGTTAATGTTGTGTGTCTAAATAGCATTACTCATAAAGAAATATCAAAACTTGCAATTATAACAAAATTTGACCATAAAAAAAAATATATTAATAATTCAAACCAAACCAAACTAAAACAAAACAAAACTGGTGGAACCTCGCAATGTATTTTTCCTTAAGCATGAGATGCCATATAATGATGATCAAAGTTTAGGGTTACATTTTAGCGATTCGTCCCATAATTTAATTTTATGATCTGAGTCGTTCATTTCCTAATACATTTGTTACAAAATGTAGATAAGATCGAAAAGAATTTTAGCTATTTTATTGTTAAATAAAACTATTATTTTCATTCATGCTCATCGTAGAAACTATGTGATCTTTATATTTGCCAGTGATTTTAATTACCAGGTCCCAAAATATTACCGCAATCGTCACTTCAGTTTTTCGAAGGCCACCAATTTGACCCAAAAAAATCTAGCATTGTGTTTTCTTCGAAACGAAGGAACAGCAACTTGGGCTGCTTTGAAAGCCCAGGCCCCAGCTCGGCCCAGCTGCCTCATGGTCCATGGACAATTGTACCTGGCAGCAAATTGATGAAAAGTGAGCTTGCTATATCTTCTTTCTGCCAGCCAAAGATTCTTGAGGATGGGAGCGGGGACGAGAATGGTATTATTATTTCCAACTCTAAAGAGTTGATGATTTTCAAATAATTGAGGAGCCATTAGTAATTATAAACCCATTTTTCCTTATTTAAAATCTTAATTCAATCATTGAATTTCATTTGTCATGAAATACCTATTTTTTATATAATATACCACTCGCCTTGGGTCTTAATTAAGCTAGCTAATCAACATAAACTCTAATCATGATAAGCTAAATTGGTACATCAACCAGGAGATGACAAGTAAAAGAGTACTCACGTAGCTCCATCACCATTTAAAAGACCAAAAATCATAAGCCCTTCCCAACACCTGTAAATGAATACTGATGGGCACTTTCCAGTCCCGTAGCAGTTCCTTTTCACCTGCAAATGAAATACTGACATATATACTGTAGTGATTTATTAAAGAAAAACTGTAAAATATGTGTTTTATGAAAATGATAAACCAATTCGAGGAATGTCTGGCACACATATTTAATTAGTTCAGACATATTAAATGTTGAAATAGAACTGAGACCAGAAAATATTTTTATATTAAAGAGGCCCACGCTAAGTGCAAATAATCTTTTTTTAAAAATTGCATAATTTAAATACATATGCATATAGTAAATAAAGTGTTATCAAATTCACCAAAAATTCGGAGTTTAACCTTACTTTACTTGAGCTTTTTCTTTGCACTGTAACCAATTTCTCTTCTTTCCTTCTTCCTCTCTTCGGCAAACGTTCTCTCTTTCTCAAAGTAAAAGCACCACAGAACACCATTCAAGCCTCCTCCTCATCCTATTCCCTCTTTGATTTCCATGGCCAGATAAAAGCCTCCCACGGTCACAGACTCAAGCCAAGACTCCATGCATACCCTCTCATTTCTCTTGAGCTAACCGATAAAACCTCTTCAGCCCTAACACATATAGCACTTCACTTGTGACACAATATTGCCATAATGAGCACCCAAACTCTCTTGTTTTTAATTCCATGAAATTGAGAAAATGAATTGGAGACACCAGCTCTCCCTACCCTAGTTGCTTCCTTCACTCAGGGCCAGCTTCATTAGGTCTCGAGTCTTCTCCTCTAAAAGTCAAAAAATCTAGCTGGATAAAAGGCTAACAGATTGGGTCGGTTGAAACGTGTGGTGTATACATAAAAGTCTCTTATTTGAAGCTTGTACGTAGAAAAAGAGAGCACTCTAATAATGTAAGATTGTCGCCTTCCATGCATACTATTACTAGTCAGCAGAAAAAGGGAGCTGCAAATACCACGTGTGTACGACGTTCCTCTAACTCAGCCACTCATTTTATGACCAGTCCATAGGAAAGGATGGATGTAAGAGAGGGACACTGTACGCCTCTCCATTATTATGCTAGTTTGAAGTTAATTCCCCAAATCCACCTAATTTGTCATTAAATATAAGGGCAAATGTTTTAAAGAAAATTAACAAATAAAGGAAATTTAAAAAATTAAAAGTAAAAAAAACTTACGGGTCCATCCATGTGCACATAGTAGGCTCCATATACCAACCAACCAGTATGCTGCATGCACATTAATAAAGACATGTTTTGCCAGTAATTTAACGTGACTTGAAATGAAATTAGAATCATAATCCTATAATTAAGCTAACCTTAGAGGTTTATATCACAACATATTATGGGGCACGAAGACTGCGGACCAACTTTTGGGGAACGGAGATAGCAAGGCCATTCTCTGCTTTGCTCTATATAAACCATGAAGCAGTCTAACCATTTCGGTATAATGGCTCTTGAACTCATTTACCTCATCAAATCCCGGCTGCTTCCTTTTCTAGCTAGTTACCATGGAGTACATTAACCAGTACCACTCCAAATGTACTTGTTTGGCCTTAATTTTCATATTGGGAGCTTTGTCTTGTCAAGCCATTTCGCGGGAGTCTCCAAGATGCATCAACGTATGGGAAATACGAGCAATGGATGACTCGTTATGGACGAGTATACAGCGACACTAATGAGAAGAAAGAAAGTTTCATGATATTTAAGGAAAATGTGGCATTTATAGAATCTTCCAATGCCGATGCAAACAAACTTTACAATTTAAGTGTCAATCAATTTGCAGATCTTACAAATGAAGAATTCTTAGGGCATGAGTTCCACAAAGACGACTTCTTTCAAATATGAAAATGTTAGGGCTCCACCTACTATAGATTGGAGAAAGAAAGCAGCTGTAACACCCATCAAGGACCAAGGCCAATGTGGTAATTAACTTTTACTTATGAGATCAATTTGAAAATTTTCAATTAATCCATAAAAAAAATATATGTCTATTAACCTAACTATTATTTGGACAAAGATGGAGCCCAAAAGCAAGCCAGTCAAAAACCCAGCGCTATTCCGCCTTGTCTATTGCCTGGATCGAAAATTGGTAGAGCCCACATGCACAAAGGTGGAGCCCAAAAGCAAGTCTCAGAACAGCCCACGTGCTGGTGCAAATCGAGTGGGGCCCGTTTGCAGGAGAGGTCTGCCTCATCCTTTAAATGTTAGCTTTTGAGATCCAACGGCTACATTTAATATGCTTTTGTAATTTATTTTTAATTTAAATGTAAGCTTAATCTAACGGCCTAGATTGTCCAAGACTGATTTTAAAGGAAAACAAAAATTATATCCAACAACCCAAATTAAATCCAATAAAATCAAAGGAAAATTAGGTATTAGACATAGATAACTTTACTTATTAGTATTTAAGACATTTGATATTTTGGTTTGGGTTTTAATACCTAGAAAAGAATTGTTATTTTGGATTAGGCCAAAAAGGAAGGCCAGATTTATTGACCCACCTTACATTAGTCCTTAAAAAGACAATTATACCCTTTTCATTTAAAAACCTAACCCAAATTCGTTAGTTTCTCATATCTCTCTCTCTCTCCCCGCGTCTTCTCCCCTTCTCCTCCCCTCTGTTTCGACCGACACCGACAAAACCCCCCAGCCACTGTCACGTCCGCCACCCAGCCACCGGACCGGTCAAGTTTTGACCGGCGTCACCCCCCAAGCCAGCTCCGACCTTCCTCCTACCTCTGCTGCTGCTGTTTCCTGCGCAAGGATGACACGCATAAATCGAGAAATGGTCCAAATATTTTTGGCTCTTTTTCCGCCAAATTTCGAATGGTTTTTTTTGCGCTCTCCATGGTGTTAACCACAATCTCAAGGACCAAAGGCGTAGTTCAATGCAATTGCAGAGGCTTGAGAAGCTATGAGCATTTTGCATTTGAAGTCTTCGATGGTTCGGTGGCTTAGTCTTTGATCTTCCAGGTAGGAGTAACAGTTTCAATTCAATCTACTTTTTTAATTTAAAAGCATATATGTCCAATATTTGATGGTTCATTGACTGATTTTTTTAGTATGGGATCTTGTGTTTCCAATTTAATCCATGTAAAAAAGCTCGCCTACTAGCTGTTCGATAAAATGACTCTGTTACTATGACCCTTATAAAATTGTTTAAGTATGCATTTCAAATGATTCTCTGATAATCCCTTACA